TGAGTGAGCACCCTGGAGGCTGAGGCAGAAGGATTGTGAGTTCAAGTCTAGCCTGGGCTACCAAGTAAGATGCCGGTCTGTAGGATAGAGGGAGGGCTGGTCTCCCAGACTTGCCTCAGATGCTCCTGCTCTCATGCATCCGCTTGCACACACAGGAGAAGAAGAGCTGGTGCCTGGCCAGCTCACATTCCCTCTCATGGCAGGTCATGAGAGCTATGTGACCTTCTGCCAGCTGGAGGACGAAGCCGCCTTCACCTGCAGCGCCGACTGCACCATCCGGAAGTGGGACGTTAGGACCGGGCAGTGTCTGCAGGTGTACCGAGGGCACACGTCCATCGTGAACAGGTCAGCCAAGCCCCGGGGCATGGGCCAAGGAGACAGAAATGGAGGACTGATTCTGAGCAGGGCAGCTAACCACTTGTGGTAGTGGAATGATGAGGCAGAGGAGCCACAGGAAAGAGGCATCGTTAGCATATATTAGCATAGTCTGCCCTCCGGGAGGGAGCCACACGCCCTGACTGCCCCTCTGGGGGTGGGGAAGGGGAGCTCCAGCACCCACCGATGGGAGCGAATTCCAGAGGAGACCAATGACAGCTGGGGCTCAGAGGAGAAGGGAGATGCAGTTGGTGGTGTTTTTTAAACTTCCTTTTGTACGGCTACTGAAGGTCTCCTGGCCTTCTTCGGGATCTGAATTTTTTTTCCTTGTTGAATTTGGGTTGGACCTGAGCGGTGGAAATTTGTTTGCTGACCAGATCAACTTGATGTTATTTTTATGACACACAATAGTCGCCCTGGGCTCCCAAGTTCCAAGCAGATGCCTAGCATTGGAACCCGTGGAGTCGCACTGATAGGAGAGCCCCTACTTGGGAAAGACCCAAGGGCCTTTCTTTGTGGACACGGAGGGGAGGCTGTGCTGCTGCCAGGGCGGGCTCTGAGGGCTGTGTGGGCCTCCAGACAGGCAGATTAGCTCCTCAAGCTGACTGCAGCTCCAGAGCCCACGTCAGATGGCGTCTTGACAGTCTGAAGGTGTCTGCAGGAGATGCTGGAGCTAGGAGAACTCAGCTCTCACAGTTCAAACTGGCCTTTCCCAGCAAGATGTCTGTCATTGGCCGGGCACGGTGACTTGTTTCTGTTGTCCCAGAACTTGGGAAACTGAGGTAGGGCAATTTCCATGACTTCAAGACCAGCCTGGGTACAGAATGAGCTCTAGATCAGCCTGGCTTAGAGGAGACCCTGATTCCAAATCCCTCCCTTTCCTGTCTATACAAAAAAAAAGTTCTCCACAAAAACAGAAACTGAGGCATCTGTCAGAAGCCAACCTAGGTGGGTGAGGGTCCATGCCTCAGATGACCAGCTTGTCCTCAGGTTGTTGATTAAGGAACAGTCACAAGCTTCTCTAAACAAGGCGGAAACTATGCTCTTCGAGGTTTGGCATCCATGCCCACACACAGATAATATACATAACACAACACAAAGGTACAGCACATGGATACACATGTACATACAGCATACACGCAACATGCATATGATGAACAAGATCATTCATATCAACATACATATACACAACACATACATAACTGAGATGCATCAAGTACATATACATAGGAATGTCCACATGTGTGCTCGACATGTGTCCAACGCACATGCACAGACAGATCATCCACAAACGCACATACATACACTGTTTCCATCAGTGGCTGTTCCAAATCCACCACACAAAAGACATACTCCGATGATTATGTTCCCAAATGGGTGAGGCTGGAACTCACTTCTGTTTTTAGAGCTAGGCTGGGCGTGTGAGCTTCGAGCACATCATTCTTCAGTGGCCTGACGTCCCTGTTGTACATTCTGCCGCATCTGCCCAGGGCCGCTTAGCCCGAGTTAGTTTCTTTTCTCATTGCTTGGACATCACTCACCCCCAGAGAAAGCAAAAAGGAATAAAGGGAGCCAGTCTATCACGGCAGAGAGGGCTTGTTCGCAGGAGCAGGAGACAGCCGCCAGTCACGTCACACCCACGATCAGCTCACTTTCTCCTTTTTATTCAGTCCAGGACCACAGTCCAGGGAACGGTGTCACCTGCTTAGGATGGAGCTTCCTACTTCACTTAACCTAATCTAGAAGGCACAGGTGTATGAGAGGCTTGTTTCCATGGTGATCCTAAATCTCACCAAGTTGGCAACATTAACTGTTGAGAACCCCAGTGCCTCTAGCACCCCCTATGGGGCTGCACCCCCAGAACATCATAGGTTCTTGTCAAGGGGGTTCTTTGACTCTCAACAGATCAGAAACCCGCCATGTAGACCAGGCTAGCCTCAGACTCAGAGATCCACCTGCCTCTGTCTTCTGAGTGCTGGGATTACAGGTGTGGGTCATACCTGGTGAGTCTAGA